GCGCGGCGGCAATGATCGCTGTCATCACCGGAGGAGCGGGACGGGAAATCATCGTTAATATTCATTTAGGAATCTCCGTTTCACTTCTCCTGCAGCCAAAAAAAAAATGATTAACCGGCAACGCGTTCAGCGTCCGCGGCAACCAATTCAGAAATCTTTTCATCGTTCCGGCTAATGAAAATTGATTGGTTGCCGTTTTGTTACATTTTAAACATTTACGTTGTTGGTTTACTAAACCTGACGTTTACGTGTCGCCTCCCCTTGTATATCCGGTGTTTTGCAGTAGCGGCAGCGTGAGCGGCCTGACTCTGAAACTCATGAAGACGTCGGTTGTGGAGATGCTGGACACGCTGTCCGATGACGACTATGTGACCGTTGCGTCTGTAAGTGAAATGATTGCCGGAACGCTGACTAGAAAATGGTGTTTGCTGAGATTGTGATTGATGGAAAAAATATCACATTAATATCTGCCGCTATTGTCCCCCCCTTCTGTACCCGCCCGCTATGGTGCCAGTGACACTATCTCTCCCCCTTCTCCTTTTATGACCTCTCCTCCTTCAGTGACCCCTTCTTCCTCCTCCTCCTCCAATTACCACATCTCTCCCCCCTTCTCCTTTAATTACCTCTCCCCCCTCCTCCTCCAGTGACCCCTCTCCCCCCACTCCTCCAGTGACCCCTCTAGCCCCTCCTCCTCTAGTGACCCCTCTTCTCCTCCAGTGACCCCTCTAGCCCCTCCTCCTCTAGTGACCCCTCTCCTCCTCTGGTGACCTCTCTCCTCCTCTGGTGACCCTGTGTCCTCCTCTGGCCCTCTTCGGTGACACTCTATGGGAGGAGAGGGGATGGATTTTGGTAGAATATTATATAAAGTGAATGTTCTGATTCCTTCACTCGGTTCTCATTGATTTTCTTCCCTCCCCAGTTTCACGAGAAGGCCGAGCCCGTGTCCTGCTTCAGGCAGCTGGTCCAGGCAAACGTCAGGAATAAGAAGGTCATCAAAGATGCCGTCCAAGATATGGTGGCCCGAGGAACGACCGACTACAAGGCCGGCTTCGAGTACGCCTTCAGCCAGCTGCAGAATGTGAGTGTGGATCCCCGCGCCTCGCGCCTCATCCAGCTGCCTATTCTCTGTATCATCTGACATTTCTCAGCCCCCCTCCTCCACTCATCTGTTAAAGCTTCACTCCGCTCACAGTTATGGACGGAGCTTGCTGGGTTCACTCACCTGCCGGCTTCTTCTATTCCAGCATCTGCTGGGTGAATGAAGACTTTGTTCTAATAAAGGAAAATCCCATTTAACCTTCATCGATCCCTCCCGTTTTATATCAAAGTCCATCAAGTGCAAATCACATGTATTGCCTGGATGGCGGTATTCATAAACACAGTCTAAATTGTGCGTTCATCTTCTGCAGAGCGATCTGTTCCACATTAATGACATTCACCGCTCTTCCCATAAACATGGAGAATATTCCCCCTGTGGGTGAAATCCTCCAGGCGATATGACAGCCCCTCGTCCTCCATCTTCACCTCTTTCTCCCCCCCCTCTTTTCTCTCTCTCTCCCTGTCCCCTCCTTGTATATGACAGCGAGGATGTTAGAATGTAGAACAAATCCTTTCCTCAGACCCGATACAATGTTTCCTCCTCGGAGTACAGACCCGATACAGTGTTTCCTCTCCTCAGAGGGCAGACCCGATACAATGTTCCCTCCTCGGGGTACAGCCCCGATACAGTGTTTCCTCTCCTCAGAGGGCAGACCCGATACAATGTTCCCTCCTCGGGGTACAGCCCCGATACAGTGTTTCCTCTCCTCAGAGGGCAGACCCGATACAATGTTCCCTCCTCGGGGTACAGCCCCGATACAGTGTTTCCTCTCCTCAGAGGGCAGACCCGATACAATGTTCCCTCCTCGGGGTACAGCCCCGATACAGTGTTTCCTCTCCTCAGAGGGCAGACCCGATACAATGTTCCCTCCTCGGGGTACAGCCCCGATACAGTGTTTCCTCTCCTCAGAGGGCAGACCCGATACAATGTTCCCTCCTCGGGGTACAGCCCCGATACAGTGTTTCCTCTCCTCAGAGGGCAGACCCGATACAATGTTCCCTCCTCGGGGTACAGCCCCGATACAGTGTTTCCTCTCCTCAGAGGGCAGACCCGATACAATGTTCCCTCCTCGGGGTACAGCCCCGATACAGTGTTTCCTCTCCTCAGAGGGCAGACCCGATACAATGTTCCCTCCTCGGGGTACAGCCCCGATACAGTGTTTCCTCTCCTCAGAGGGCAGACCCGATACAATGTTCCCTCCTCGGGGTACAGCCCCGATACAGTGTTTCCTCTCCTCAGAGGGCAGACCCGATACAATGTTCCCTCCTCGGGGTACAGCCCCGATACAGTGTTTCCTCTCCTCAGAGGGCAGACCCGATACAATGTTCCCTCCTCGGGGTACAGCCCCGATACAGTGTTTCCTCTCCTCAGAGGGCAGACCCGATACAATGTTCCCTCCTCGGGGTACAGCCCCGATACAGTGTTTCCTCTCCTCAGAGGGCAGACCCGATACAATGTTCCCTCCTCGGGGTACAGCCCCGATACAGTGTTTCCTCTCCTCAGAGGGCAGACCCGATACAATGTTCCCTCCTCGGGGTACAGCCCCGATACAGTGTTTCCTCTCCTCAGAGGGCAGACCCGATACAATGTTCCCTCCTCGGGGTACAGCCCCGATACAGTGTTTCCTCTCCTCAGAGGGCAGACCCGATACAATGTTCCCTCCTCGGGGTACAGCCCCGATACAGTGTTTCCTCTCCTCAGAGGGCAGACCCGATACAATGTTCCCTCCTCGGGGTACAGCCCCGATACAGTGTTTCCTCTCCTCAGAGGGCAGACCCGATACAATGTTCCCTCCTCGGGGTACAGCCCCGATACAGTGTTTCCTCTCCTCAGAGGGCAGACCCGATACAATGTTCCCTCCTCGGGGTACAGCCCCGATACAGTGTTTCCTCTCCTCAGAGGGCAGACCCGATACAATGTTCCCTCCTCGGGGTACAGCCCCGATACAGTGTTTCCTCTCCTCAGAGGGCAGACCCGATACAATGTTCCCTCCTCGGGGTACAGCCCCGATACAGTGTTTCCTCTCCTCAGAGGGCAGACCCGATACAATGTTCCCTCCTCGGGGTACAGCCCCGATACAGTGTTTCCTCTCCTCAGAGGGCAGACCCGATACAATGTTCCCTCCTCGGGGTACAGCCCCGATACAGTGTTTCCTCTCCTCAGAGGGCAGACCCGATACAATGTTCCCTCCTCGGGGTACAGCCCCGATACAGTGTTTCCTCTCCTCAGAGGGCAGACCCGATACAATGTTCCCTCCTCGGGGTACAGCCCCGATACAGTGTTTCCTCTCCTCAGAGGGCAGACCCGATACAATGTTCCCTCCTCGGGGTACAGCCCCGATACAGTGTTTCCTCTCCTCAGAGGGCAGACCCGATACAATGTTCCCTCCTCGGGGTACAGCCCCGATACAGTGTTTCCTCTCCTCAGAGGGCAGACCCGATACAATGTTCCCTCCTCGGGGTACAGCCCCGATACAATGTTTCCTCCTCAGAGTACAGACCCGATACAATGTTTTTCCTCTCCTCGGAGTACAGACCCGATACAGTGTTTCCTCTCCTCAGAGTACAGACCCGATACAATGTTTCCTCCTCAGAGTACAGACCCGATACAATGTTTCCTCCTCAGAGTACAGACCCGATACAATGTTTCCTCCTCAGAGTACAGACCCGATACAATGTTTCCTCTCCTCAGAGTACAGACCCGATACAATGTTTCCTCTCCTCAGAGTACAGACCCGATACAATGTTTCCTCTCCTCAGAGTGCAGACCCGATACAATGTTTCCTCCTCGGAGTACAGACCCGATACAATGTTTCCTCTCCTCAGAGTACAGACCCGATACAATGTTTCCTCCTCAGAGTACAGACCCGATACAATGTTTCCTCTCCTCAGAGTGCAGACCCGATACAGTGTTTCCTCTCCTCAGAGTACAGACCCGATACAATGTTTCCTCTCCTCGGAGTTCCGGTTTCTCTCTGTGAAGGAAATATAAAGATTTCCTCTTCTGTTTCAGAATAACGTCACCCGAGCCAACTGCAACAAGATGATCATGATGTTCACGGACGGCGGGGAAGACCGCGTACAGGATGTGTTCGAGAAATACAACTGGCCCAACAAAACGGTAAGATGATCTGGGATTTCACACCACCATGTCCGTCCTTGGGCTCTCTGGTACCCGGTGCAGAGTTGTAGTACAAGAACCACCACAGATAAAGCAGAAGATGTCTCTTAAATTGCACTCTGGAGGTCCTTCTTCCCCCATCATACCACCCCTCCCCTACACTGCCTCCTCCCATTATAATTCCCCTTCTTCCCATTGTCCCCATTTCCCCCATAATGCTCCGTTTGCCCCATGGTGCCCCCTTTCCCCACAACACCCCCTTCCCCCATGATCATCCCGTTCCTCTGCAATCCCCCACCTTCTTCCCATGATGTCCCCATTCCTCCCATGGTTCCTTCTTAGGCCCCCTAATGCTTCCCCTTCCTTCTATGCTGCACCCCCCCCCCTT